ATATATATATATATATATATATGTTCTGTTCTGTTCTATTCTCTATTCTATTCTACTCTATTGTATTCATATTCTCTATTCTATTCATTTTCTCTATTCTATTCTATTGTATTCTATTCTCTTCTATTCCTCTTTTCTATTGTATTCTATCCCATTCATTTTTTTCTATTCTATTCTATTCCTCTTCTCTATTCTATTCTATTCTATTCTATTCTATTCCATTCATTTTCTCTATTCTATTCTATTGTATTCTCAGTTTGGACGAATGGGTAGCATTTTTACTACTGGTTCGGGCGAAGTGGTCCAAACTGGTAGCATTTCACCCATCTTTATTGTACATTATTCTAAAAGTGGCGGCCCACTTACCATGTTCAACAACTGGCGAAGCATTTCTAGCGGAATGTTAAACTCCTTGTTACTGATCCCATTAAAGAGGGGTGAAACAGAGAAACTGGAGCTGATGGTGGAGAAATAATATTCGGGATCCAGGGCGCTTCCATCCGGCAGATAGGAACCTGCTTATTAAAGAAGGGAAGAGAAAAATGGTAACTGATCCCTTTTGTTGGCCATGGAGACAAAACGGGAGAGATGGAAGCAAAAGAGACATTCGCTCTCCAAGCCGACGGTTTAACCAAAGTACCAAGAGGCTACGCTTAATTGGATTTCCTTTAAATCCTGCAAGAAAACCGTAGTACCAATAGAGCTTGCACAACAAGGTAACTATGATTTAGCATCAGTGGTGGGTTGCAAGCGGTACGCCCCAGTATGGGCGTACTGGAGCCTGCCTGGAGCACCAGGTACCGCTCCGGTATGGTGCTCGGGAAGGCCCACCCGCCCGCCCTCACCTGTCTTTAAAGTCTTCGGCGCTTCCGCGCACGACACGTACAACACCTGCACGATGCTCTGCCGAGCAGTTGGTGTGTCACAGAGGCTCACGGAGGCGTCGCTGGATTGCAAGATGCACGCGCGCGCTGCACTCGTCCATGTGGACAACGCCGGGCCCACTCCAACCGTCCCGGTTGGAATGGGATCCGGAACCCACCACTGTTTAGCATGGGTGGGGAATGCAGGATGGGTAACATCACAAGCCCTGGCTGGGCACTGTCAGAAGTTGCCCAGTGCATTAGCAGTTTCAATAAAAGAGAATATTTATTTGTAGCTCAGGGTTGCAATGAGGGGTCCTTGGTGCTCTCTGAGCTTGATGGTTTTCTTGCAAACATTTCATGATCCAACTAGGTAACACCATCAGTGCTAGAGAGTGGAGTTGGAGAAGGAAGAGGAGAAGGAGGAGGAGGAGGAGAGTGGGGTGCTTGGTGCTCTCTAACTTGGTTGTTTTCTTGAAGACTCAACTTGATAATGAAGAAAGCTAAACCAGGTAACCTCATCAGTGCCCATCATCAGATTACTGATGTTACCTAGTTTGGGTAATGAAAGAACCCAGCTCAGAGAGCACCAAGGACCCCACAGTCCTCTTCCTCAATCCTCCCCTTTTCCTCCCTTCCGTGCTCCCCACTCCCTTTATCACTGATGATGTTACCTAGTTGGGTCATGAAACATCTGCAAGAAAACCAAGCTCAGAGTGCACCAAGGACCTGTCACATTCATGGTTGCTGTCCAGTTGGCACTTTAATAAAATTAGATATATATATTTTTTTGCAAAAGGAGAGAGAGAAAAATACCTTCAAAATACTGTATGGCCGTTCCTCCTGGAGACCCGGGCAGGATAATCCCACGATCAGGACTGACCTTGAAATATAAAGACAGGCATGAAATACCATCCAATGGGGCTGGACTTCGCTCTGTCCCACTAGTTGGGTGGGAAGAATTACGATGAAAATATATTGAAGAAGGGCCATTGCCACTGATTTCCCCTTGGTTGAAGGCCTTTCGAAATCCACACTTCTCTTGGGATTGAAGAATTAGGACCTCACATTAAGCTTCAGTTCAGCTAATTTATTATTCATGCCTTACAGTACGAAAGGATCTAGTCAACTAAAAGCCTGCACTAAACTGGCGCTGGATAAGAAAGAGTTAAAGGAACGTATCTTTTGTGCCTAAGGAGGGACTAGAACTCACCATCTTCTGGTGATTAGCCCAAAGTCACCCAGCTGGATTTAACTAGAACTCACCATCTCCTGGTGTTTGGCCCAAAGTCAACCAACTGGCTTTTGCGACTAAAGCAGGAGTAGAATTCACCATCTCCTAGTGACTGGCTCCAAATCACACATCTGGTTTTTGTGGCTAAAGCAGGACTAGAAGTCACACCTCCTGGTGATTGGCCCAAAGTCACCTAGCCAGCTTTCATGATTAAAGTAGGACTAGAACTCACGGTCTCCCAGTTTCTAGCCTGGTACGTTAACCCCTAAATTGCTCCAGGCAGAGTTACTTCTCATCACCATCACCATTATTATTTTTTAGAGTGGTGAGGTGGCCAAGAGGTGGAGCTCTCGCCTCACAATCAGGAGGTCTGTGAGTTCGATCCTAGATAGAAGCAGATATTTCTCTCTCTGGGCACCATGAGAATGTAACTGCTGAACAAAACCCTGCCCTGGTGACAGGAAGGGGAACGGGGCAGTAAACGCTCAGCCCCATTCCTTTGTCCAGACTCCACCTCATGTGGGATTATGGGGCCATTAAAAGAAGACCACTATTTTAACTGTGCAGATTTTCAAGTTGAAATACCCTCATCCACGTGCTTAATTTTTCAGCTAGATTGGAAATGCAATTCTAGGCACGACATCTGGCCGGTGTCAAAGTGAGGCTTGGGGTTCGGGACGTGGGATACAGGTAGATTTTTGTCTTCCCAAAAGCAACCCCACCTGTGTGATGCTGGAAACGCTGCCCGTTTTCCTCTTTAAGGATCCTTCCTGGCAGACGGTCAGCAGGGAGTTGGGAAGGATGGAGCGGAAGTCATTGAAGGAACG